TGCTGGCCCGAAGATGCGCTAAGCCGAATCGGGCGATCTTCCAACTGAGCCTCGATTTTTCGGCGGTCCGGCATTCGTGACATCTTCCAATGAAGTGTCGCTGGATTGATCTCTTGATGGTTTAAGTTTCACCAGGTCAACATGACTGTCAGGGCATTGCGTAAAGTTGCCGCCAGCAAGGTATGTGACGCGCGCGAGACTCTTTGCAACACACTTTCCACCTCCATCATAGAGGCTGACATCTGAACAGAATGGCGTCGGTGCCTTCATCCTCCAATGCAAGAAGATGGAACTAAACTATTGCGATTGGGCCGGCAGCTCAAAAGGAATGAAGTAAGTCTCTTATCTCTAGAAGAATGGCAACTGTGCTGAACTGCATGACTTACCGCACATTTCTCAGCGGCTTCATCAAATCTCTCCTCCCCAAATTCGTGGCCGAGAACCCGCAGATCGAATTCGTCCTCTCGCCTAGGCCAGGCAAACATCCACTCATCACCGGCCACTATATAAACGGACGCCACAAACCAGTATGCGTACGAAGCTTATCACCCTACGAGATTCTGCAGAAGATTGAGCTGTTACGCGACGCCAGCGGTGAGAAGCTGAAGAGGAGGAATAAGGCGGTTACTAGTTCCAACCCTAGTGTCAGAGGCATCTGGTCTCCATTTCATGGAAAGGGTGAAACTGTATAGGTTGTTTGTCTGGTGGCTATTTTTTTGAGACGCAACAGGCTTGAATTTGAATTCGGCAGCGACGCGCACGTCTATGCCGTGCTTGTATCATTATATCACGAGAGAAAGGCACATGTATTTTTCAGCATCGAGCGGCTGGAATGTCTGGACTTTAAGGGTCATGTTTCGGCCGGTTGAATAAATGGAAGACTCCGCAATGTCAAATCGACATGGTCACGACTCACGTTCTACACGAGACTCGCGTAATCGAATAAAGGAGAAAATGCCACAAGTCAGGAGATCGCAGAATCGGGTATCCAATGACTAGGTCATTATTCTCGTGCACTACATAATTTTATATTCTACTCACGGATCCACGTCTGGATGTGACCTGGGGTCTTGGCCAGCCATCATTTTCTGCAGTTGACGATGTCGACGACTGTCGTAAAAAAAAAGCGTCAGTAGGTGCCTATACGCTTGGGATAACAAATTGCAGTGCGGAAAGTGGGAAAAGACTTACAACCAGGCTTCAGAGAAGCACCGCCGACCAAGAAACCATCGATATCGGGCTGCTTGCCAAGCTCTCCACAGTTCTTCTCATTGACACTGCCGCCGTACAAGATTCGGGTCTCGTCGGCCACCTTGCTACTGACGCTCTTGAGCCATTCACGAATGGCCTTGTGTACTTCCTGAGCCTGCTCAGTCGTAGCAACCTTGCCAGTCCCGATAGCCCAGATGGGCTCGTAAGCAATGACGATCTTGGACCAGTCGTTGATCTGAGCCTTCAGAGCCTCGAGCTGCTTGGTCACAACATCGACAGTCTTGCCAGCCTCACGCTCCTCGAGGCTCTCTCCGCAGCACCAAATGACACTAACGCCGTTCTCGGTGGCATACTTGGTCTTGGATGCGACAACCTCGTCGGACTCCTTGAGGATGGTACGACGCTCAGAGTGGCCTAGGATGGCCCAGTTGATGTTGCTGTCCTTGAGCTGGGAGACAGAGATTTCACCGGTGAAGGCACCGTTCGGCTTGTCGTAGACGTTCTGGGCAGCAACGTCGATGCTGGAGCGGAGGCTGTCACGGACGAGCTGAAGGTAGAGCGCGGGAGGAGAGACGACAACCTCTGTAATCAATCAGTTAGACGTAGCCTTTTGCCAATGTATTGTCACTTGGCCGGATGGGACGTTGACGCAAGGATGCTACGAACCGACTTCGGCGTCAAGGACAGCATTGTTCAGGTTCTTGACAATTTCCTTGATGGACGAGACAGTCCCGTTCCTGGAAAACTTCGTTAACTACTGTTTCTTTGCTCTCAAATCGTAGTTTCATGTCAACGTCTTGGATGTCATATCGAGCTGCGCTGTTCTGGCTGCTCGTCTCGGGATGTGCACCTCGCGCGGGGCATGGAGGGGCAGCACCTCGCGACATGACTCACATCTTGAAGTTGCCGCCAACAAAGAACTTGCGTGCCATTTTGAAGATGTTGAGAAGGTTTTAACGGTTTGACTAAATTGTAAGATATAATCGAGGTAGGTAACGTCGGGCAGCGGCAAGTATGTATAGCTTTGAAAGAAATTCGAATGAGGATAGGAGATGAAGATGGGGGACTAAATCTGAGGAGGTTCCACATGTTGTCCAAAAGTTGCGCACGATTAGCGTCCCCGACTCCCAGAGTCCCAACAATGGAGTGGAGCGTCTCCGTCACCGTTTCATACTGTGGGACATTCATGTCGGAAACCCGGATCTTCCCTCATCACTCAACGCAGGCGCAGATCGGCAACAACTGAGCAAAATTGGCGTTTATTAAGTTGCTTGCGTTCCTCTACTCTTAAAAGTACTAGTACACGACGATTGAATAAGGACAAAAACTAGAAACACATAGGAGAGCCCTACACTCGATTTCGGAGCCGCGCTTCAAGTACGAATCACTTGGCAGACAGGATCAAGGAATCCTTTGCTCTCCGCCAATTGCATCACCACTTCAAGCCGGCCCGTAGGCTGGGAATTTGCCGTAGGAACCGTCGCAAGCTTCGGTTCTGAAATAGCCACCATCCTGGCCCGTCAACTCCGTACCATTTGGAGCAGTTATCTTGACAGACATGGCAACGTTGCCTCCCTTGTCTCCCCAGGCGATTCGCACGGGATAGTAGGTCCCCTTCTCCAGAAGCCTTACTGTCTGAGTTTCATCGCCAGGAGGAGGGATATAAGTCCGCTCGATATCGGCGTTGGCTCGAGTCCAGCCGCTGAAGGCGTTTTGGCCTAACCAGACGAGAGCGATATCATCGGCCTGTCCGAACGTAAAGGTGTAGTTGCCCGTTTCAGGTGCCAAGAGAAAGCCTTGGTGAATGACAGCGGCCTGATTTGTGCTAAGGGCCTGACCGTAGAGGTTTCTACGATCGTTGATAAGCAAGCTGTTGGTTCGGCCGTCGTGCTCTGGTTTCTGGCTCGCGAAGGACGTAGGGTCATATTCTGCAAACGGTGGTGACTTGACAGTTCTCCAAGTTCGCGGTCCTCGCCATTGTGCCCATTCAAAGCCAGGCTGTCCGCAAGTCGGCGGTTTCGGCTTGCATTGACCATCTCCGCACAACTGGTCGGGGCCGCAGTCAGAGTCGATCGAGCAAGGGCTGCATTTCTGGTTCTTGCAGATCTGCGTCGCTTTGCAATCCGAGTTCTTGGTGCATTCTGGAGGAGGGTTTATCGTCGGGACGCACAATCCCTTGACACATTCGAGATTGGCATCCTCACAGTCTGCGTTGGCGGTGCAGGCTTCACATCTGGTATTCTTGCAGATTTGACCGTTGCACTCTCGATTGTTTTGACAGCTGATGACCGCCTTGCATTTTTTATTCTCGCAAATCTGGTCTTTGCCGCAGTCCTCGTCGCGGATGCACTCGCCGCACTTTTCTTTGCACTGCATCTCCACCACGATCTGGGGGCTGTTGGCACATTCGCCAAGGCCATCAATGTACTGCGTCGAGTTAGACTGAGAAACTGAAGGCTCATGAAAAATCATCATTTAATGCTGAAGGGTTGGATAGTACCTTTTTGAAGCCGTCACACAAGTCAACTCTCAAGTCTGGGTCATCAATACCCGTTTCGCAACGCTGTGAGCATAGTTTCTGGCGAGAATGCATGTCAGTTGAAGCGGGCTTTTGCAAATGTTCTCTTGGTCTTCATACCTCGATATCTGAGGGTAAGTCGTCGAGATCACAATCACGTCGCATTGACTTGCATATCTTCCCCAGGACAAGAGTGGTGTTTCGTCGGTACAGCAAGGATCTGGGCTGAGAGCCCTGAGCCATGACGCCATGAAGCGTGAGGGCAACAAGAATGTTGAGACGAAACAGCGATATTCCATTCATGATGTCAGTCAGGGAGATTCGAAATGATCAACTTCTTCTTCCTATGAGACCTGTGAGATCTTTGCTTTAAGATGGACAAATTCAGCTACAAAATCGTGGAGGTATTGCCTCCCTTTTAACCTCAAACTGTCTGCGCCATGTACATCCCCATTTTCATGGCCAAGGCAAGGTCACGCAGCGAGGACCTGCAGCCGAAGTGTGACCGCCAGATGATGCCACTAGTTCGTTTGTACATCGTCTAAAGAACATGTCCGAGATGGTTTTCATACTCTTGGAACAGTATTACACGGAAGAACGTTCTACGAGGATGACGGCCAGCAAGAATGGTTCATGATTGATCGAGATCTCGGTTGGGACCTGCAGCAAGACAACTTGTTGTACAAGATCCTGTACTCGAACCTGCATCAGGGTACATCGATGTAACGACTTCATGTCATGTCTTGCTGTGTATTTTCCTCGCCCGGCAAGACCCCAACTGGTAGTCGGCTTCGTGCGCTTTCGGTTGCCGAGACAATAAGAATGATCTAGAGAATGTGTCGCAAGATGACGTACAAAGAAGTATGACCCGAGATCCCATATCGCTCAAGCTAGTGAAACGCGGTTTGAAAAGTATAAGCGATGCTTTGGCAAACACTCGCATCCGGCGATGGGAAGGCAAATGACAGTGGAAGCGAAACAGCATCGACAAAGATTGTATGTGCCGTTCTTAAAGCCATTGCTTCACGTCCATCATCGGACCGAGCTTCAAAAGAAGTAGCTAGCGCCTGCACTCGGAAGCGAATTGGTGACATTTGCATGAAACGTACGGCAGAGAGGAAACACGATAGGACCTCTACCCAGGTACATATGCTCTATGCTTGCAGTACCTACCTGTGATGGGCCAAAAAAAAGGGGTTGGGGGTGAGTGAAAGCTCAGCCAGCTATCGGAGAAAAAAGTATTTGTTCCTCAGCGTTATATTGTTGCACACGACCGCGCCAGGAGTCGAACCTGGAATCTCTAGAGAGCTCGATTGATGGGGAACCGAAATCTAGCGCCTTAGCCATTAGGCCACGCGGCCGATGTGAGTTTGCAACGATAATGATCTATATGAATGTACACGTTTGAGCTGATGCGGCGCTGAAAAACTCAAAGCGCGTGATGTGGATGGAACCGGAGGCCTTTGCGGCAACTAGAAATGGAAAAGTTACCCTGGCACGTCACTATCGATGTGTCTATCTAGAGCCAGAACGACATGAGATTATCTACTCGACCTGGTATCCTTCATTCGTGTTGTCCCAGAAGGTCCTCGGACAGTTCATTGTGGTGGAAGCTGTGCGAATACTCCACGATTTTGATGATGATGGGAATTCCATCAGTGCCTTGTGATATTCAGGCAAATGACAAACCATCTAGAATCATCAGAAAAATTCAATTGGCTGGAGATTCGTTTTCCGTCTCAACATGAATGAGACAGCATACATAGGTAGTCGTCATGCAGACAGGTGACAGACAGATGCTTACCACGTACAGCTTTTGCCAGCTGAGAACAGGTGTATGAAAGTCACGCAACAGTCATCCCCGCTGTCGCCCAGCATTATAATCAACGCGTTTTGCACAGAAAAACAGATGCTCGGCCTTTCCATGTCCCCTCATTCTTTTGCCTCTATCGCTTTGCAGCTCATCGAGTCTGCAGTTTCCGTTTAGGACAGAATCCACACTGCGCGAAGTCGAGAGATCTACATCTGATCACGTAAGTCAAGTACACTTCCAGATTCAAACGCGGTCATTAATTTGCCTGTCTCTATTATAGGCACTCCTGCATGCGTTGAGAGAATGGCTTCGCCTACAGCAAAAAGACTACCAGTTCGAAACCAGGAGAAGTTCTCCAAGGTCTGCAAAGAAATGAAGTCATGGATTCAACATGTGTCTCATGCTCCGGAGACCACCACGTCTCTTGAAAGTCTGCATCCCAAGCCAACAGCTGCGGATTTTGATCCAGAAAAAGTTAGCTCTGAATCGCTCGAACAGGAAGTCACCAATGCAGGTAGACCCGCCAGCCTAACAGAAGAAGCTGGGAAAGCGGATAACGGGAAGACCTGCCTTCCAGAGCTCCATGGAGGACCAGAAACTGAACCTACCGAACGCCCTCCGGCGTCAGAGAAAGTGTGCATCGAGCCAGCTTCAACGGCCTCTTCGCAAACTTCCCAACTGTCAGCCACTGTGGACATTTCCAAATATAGCCCTAACAGCGTATCTATTACACTCTCCGCAGTCAAAGGCTCATCGCCGAGACCATCAGAGCAAGCAAAGCATATTGGTGCAGCAGCGCTTAATCCCGTCGGCAGAGAAACAAGGGCCTGCCTGGGAGATAAAGACTGTGGCGGTGATTGCTCATCACATTGTGGCAATGGAAGTTCCATGGCCTTTCCCAATTTTTCCGACAGAAGTGTTGCTGGTATCTCAAATTGCGTAAGTGATGAGGCAGCATGCGAGAATTGGCAGAGAGTTGCAAAGGTCCCCCATGATGACCCTGTGAAGTCATGGTTTGCCAAATATATGACCTCACCGTCCTTGTTGGTTTCTAGCGACGAAATCAGCAATGCTGCCAACAGTCGCTGTGATATAAATCCTGACACAGGCCATTTTCTTACACCGGCCTGTCAGCCTGAAACTCTCCGATGTGTAACGGTGGGACCCTGTGAGGGCCATCAAGACATTTTATGGCGACAGATGAATATGACGTCAGAACTATACATCATGAAAGAGCGAAGAAGTCGCGAGAATATGGTCAACAGTATTCAGATGGCTATCGATCATGGGACTGGTTATCTCCGTTCGATGAGCAAGTCCGATCAAGCCTTGGCCAGAGCTGACTGCACTGTGCGCCCAGCGACTCAAATGGACTTTGCCATTGTTGCGGAAGTTGTCAACGCAAATAAGGCGTCCGGTGAGGCTAACGACTGCGCAATGAGACCGCAGGAGGACGAGAGCTTTGCTATGCGATCAGAGGACATTGCTCGTATCTGGGAAGCATGTCGGGCTGAAAAGAGGCCGTTCATCGTTGTTGAGCCAGCGGAGGAAGACTTATTGGACCGGTCAAAGTGGCCAAATCATTCCGAAATTGTTTATGAAGAGTTCGCCCGGTTTGTGGCAGAGCATCCAAGACCCTGCCTCGGTGTGGTCGGCTTTGCCTTCGTCACTGGTTCTCAGCCTGGCCTGAGCGATCGCGTTCGCCCAGAGGCTTGTTTTTCCGGACGTCTCACCTTGATGGTACATCCGGATCACCGGCACATGTTGTATGGCTCGGCTCTGCTAGACCGCATCATGACAACTATCATGCCCCTTTACAACAGCGTCGTCGACTACGAGTGGAACTGTGATGAGATGGAACTCAATGGGACTCGACAGTATACGCGTCTCCATGTCGAGCTTACTGAAGCCAACGACGGAGATGATACCCCTGGTAGAACCCATTTCTTGAAGAAATTTGGCTTTGAAGAAGTTGGACGCCTCAAAGATGTAGTCACCACTGAGGATGGTCAACGAAACATGCATTGGCGAGATCTGGTGACTTGGGCCCGTGCAATCACGCCGGGCTCAAAGATCAGCGTTCGGCGATCAGTATAATGCGACAGGTACGCCATCGATGTGAAGGCGCGGATGGCTCAATGGTATCTGAAGTTGAGTGAAGATTGAAGATGGAACGAAATCCGAAAAGCATGCTTGCAAAAAAGACGAAGAGTATTCGTTGCTGATTGGATCAAGACGGGATGAACCGACGCGTTGATGCATACTTTGCAGGTCAGCGATTATGCGTTTGGGACAAATGATGAACGATCTACGAGTATATTTTGCGAAAATGACACGCATTGAAAATTGAAGGAAAAAGACTTCGTTCTCAATAGAAGCAGCAAAATCTGGGAGATTGACGGATACCTGATTCCTGCACAGCGTAATAGCTCCGCTCCATATGACGCGATCGAGCCTGGGAGGTGACTTGCCGTGCTGGAGAAAGATGTGTTGACGCAGCCTCAGCTCGCCACTATCTTGAGTAGAGATCGCTGAAGTTTGTTTATGATAGTCCTCGACGAAAAATTGAATATCACTAGCTATATGTTTGTGTGCATTGTCGCGAGTTACTTGAGTGCAAAAAATGAAGAAATGGGTTGCTTCGTTATGGGGTGTGTGCATTGTAGTCACTCGTGACTCGTGAGTCGTGAGCCAAGCGTATCACGTGTGGGAAAATGTTGCCGACAACGAACGGCACCCTTTTGTCACGGCGCACGCACTACCAGTGCATGACTACCTGACACAAACTTGGAGTTGTTCCTTCACGAAGCCACGCCGATAGAATTGTGGATCACAGCTGCACAACAATCGCCATGTTGTCCATTTTGCGGAAAGCTCGTCTCAAGGACAAGGAGATGAGAATCCTGATGCTGTGTGTTGGCCCCTATGCACAGCACCGTGTGCCCCTACTCTAAAAGAGCAAATAGGCCGTCATAACTAATAAGGTGCCAAGGGGTCTTGATAATGCGGGCAAAACCACTATTGTCAAGAAAATCATGGGCGAAGATGTCCACACAGTTAGCCCGACACTCGGTTTCATCATTAAGACCATCGACTACGATGGGTACGTCCAAACATTCATTTCGTTCATATGCCTCTGCTTACCTTATCACTTTAGATACAAGTTGAATATCTGTTAGCTACACGCTTCATCAATGGAAAGGATAGAGAGACAAGCCATTACTGACAAGGATAGGGGACGTGGGCGGCCAAAAGACGCTGCGATCATATTGGCGTAATTACTTCGAGAAGACGGACGCCTTGATCTGGGTGGTCGATGCTACCGATCGTCTCCGCATCCAAGACTGCAAAGAGGAACTGCACGGACTACTTCTGGAAGAGGTATGTTGTGATGCAATAGTCGAGAGGTTCGGCCTCTGAAACTGTGTGCAAAACACGATATTGACCATTCCGTAGCGCTTGTCTGGAGCAAGCTTGCTCATCTTCTCGAATAAAACTGATGTCGAAGGATGCATGGATGAGCATGATATTCGAACGGTAAGGACCTGGCCAGCTGTGGGCGTTCCTGTTGCCTGCAGAAATCATCGTGCTGATACTTGAATCACCAGGCATTGAAATTGGATGAAATTCGTTCTCATCAATGGCATATTCTACGATGCAGTGCTATGACTGGAAAGAATTTACAAGAGGGCCTCTCTTGGGTTGTGGCAGATGCGAAAAAGAGGCTATTTCTCTATTGAACCCAGTATAAGCGCGCCACCAGCGTTGGTATTTGGCGGTCGATGGCCAGATCAACTTCCACCGCGGGAAGATGTCGGTACAAGAGGGTTGGTTCGCGAGCCGCCCCATTGACACAATCCGTGCTGAACTTGGCACATCTAATGATCAACGAACCATATAAAACGTAAGTCTCGGCCGTGACGCAGCAGGCGGACGGCCACAGACCCAACTAACACCAGATCAACATAATATGACTTCACTGCGTATAGCGAAGGGATGATGAGTGATCAGTCGTCATCAAGTTCGCACATTTTGCGCCAAAGCATCGTCCATGACGAAATCGTTGGTCGCCCGTTGGGCTGTCTGGGCAGGGGGCCGAGCAGGCGCTGAGAAGCCAGAGATTGATTTGAGTTGCTCGGAGACCACCTGCGACAGGCTGCGAGAGCTTGGACAGCCATGAAAACCCAATGGCATGGAACGATGGCGGTGAAATTCTTGGGCAGAAACGCATGGCGGCTAAATCCTAAATGAAGTGGATGTACTCCGTAGCCTTCGAAATCGTTTTCGTTTGGCTGCCTAGTATGAATCCGTAGCAACAAGCACTTCCAGGCCAGTCAAAAACAACATACTACCGAATTCGGGCTATGGAAGAAGTGAATTTAGCTGACTACATATTGGCCATTGCCTTGACAAGTTACGCGACTGCGCCGCTGTAGATATCCTCCCAGTCGGCGTGGCGCGTCGCGCGTCGGTATTGCCTCGAGCCCTGCGCAATGATTGTTTACCTTTCTGCTTTGCCGTTGTAAGGCTTCCATGCAAATCAGGTTC